TCTGACCCCGGGAAGCCCCCCCCCGCCACCCTGCTGGGCACCTGCGGCGGGGGCACGGCCCCCTAGCCAACCCCCGGATCTGCATGCCGGGCACCTCCGCTTTCAGGTTCTGGTGGAATTGCCAACCTCCCGGTGGCGGCCGGAGATCTCCTGCTGGTGCAGCTGATCCCTCGTTGGCAGACAACAGACCCCCCCCAGGAGGAAACGGCCCCTTGGGAAGGTGGAGTCTGTGGACATGGCCCCACGCCGAAGCCCCTCCCCCTCCCAAACCCCACCCTCAGAATCTCCAGGCATTTCCCGACCTGGAGCTGGCAGCCCCCTGGTTCTGGGGGAGGGAGGCCCAGGCAGGGCCAGCCCCGCCAGTATGCCGGGTGAGCTCAACTGCTAGGTGGGGTAAGGCAGTGTTGGGGGGGGGGGCCCTGCAGCTGGAACGACTCCTTGGCTGAAGGGAGGCGAGTTCCAAACCTTTCTTAAGGTTTCGGGGAGCTGCTGCCGCCTGCAGCAGAGCTGGCCACTGCACCCCCTGGACCAGCTCCGGGGGGGGGGGCCCTGCAGCTGGAACGACTCCTTGGCTGAAGGGAGGCGAGTTCCAAACCTTTCTTAAGGTTTCGGGGAGCTGCTGCCGTCTGCAGCAGAGCTGGCCACTGCACCCCCTGGACCAGCTCCTGCTGGACATCTGGGTCAGCCCCAGACACACATCATAGAATCATAGAATGTTAGACTTGGAAGGGACCTTCCCAGGTCATCTAGTCCAGCCCCCAGCACTCTGCAGGAGCAGAGCCGAAAGAGAGCCCCACAACGTACCCGAAACAGGGCTGCCCAGCCTCCGCTTGGAAACATCCAGCGAAGGAGTCTCCGCCACCTCCCGAGGCAGACTGTTCCACTGCTCAACCACTCTCACAGTTAGGAAGTTTCTCCTGATATTTAGCCGGTAACGACTCCTTTGTAATTCCCACCCATGAGATCTGGTCTTGCAATCCGGAGCAAGAGAGAATAGATCTGCTCCATCTTCCACATGACGGCCCTTCAGATACTTGTAGACTGCAATCGTGTCCCCTCTGAGCCTTCTCTTTCCCAGGCCAAACATGGAGTGGGCAGAAGCCCCGAGGAGAGGAAGGGAGCTCTTTGGTCAGGCCTGGCTGGCCCAGAGCAAATGCCCTCGGCGGGGTGTGTGTGTGTGTGTGTCTATGTGTGTGTCAGAAGCATCCCCTTTGAGCAGAGCTGCAAAACCCAGGGGCGCGCTCTCCCTCTGCCTCCCAAAGGGTCTCTCTGGCCTGCATGGCAGTCCCTTCCCTGGCTGAGGGAGTGAGAATGACAATGGAAACGACTGCAGCAAAGTAATGTCAAAACCGGCGTTGCAAACACAGGTCAGAAAAGGGAGCGGTCCTGATCCAGGGAAAGCCAGTCAACCATGAAGCGCACCTGAAAGCCCCGAGACTCCACTGAGTCCGTCCATTTCGGGGCTGGGCAGGAGCCCCAGGCTCAAAGGCTGCTCTGCTCACCGGGCGGGAGGCAAGCCCCTGGCCACAGCGGTCATTCAAGGGCCACAGGCCAAGGGTCAGGCACTGGGTGGGCTGCTCGGCAAGACCAGGTGACCCCCCACACACACACGCTGGTTCCAGCCTCACCACAGACATATATAGGGTGTTCCTGGCACGCGAGGCTGGGTCCCCTCCCCTGTCAGCTCCTCTCCTCAGGAGGAGCGGTGTGGCCCAGATCCTGTAAGGACTCATGGATCTCTCCTCTGCAGAGGGGAGGCCCGGGGCCGCCAAGCGTGCAGTCTGGCTGAGGGGCGGTCCGCACTGGAGGGCCCCCCCAGGCTTGAGGGCCCTGCCGGCTCAGGGTCCCTTTGCGGAGGCACCGAGGGACCCGCCTCGCACGGAGGGCCTGGGAGGCCGCTGGCTGGTTCCCGACGAAGGCGGCAGTGTGGCTGGCTCAGCGGGCGGAGCCCCTTCAGAAGGAGCTGACGGAGGCATTCCCGAAACCTCCGTCGGCCATCTTTGAGAAAGCCGACCACTTTATTGAAAAGAATGGTGCTGACTAAGTGCACCGTGGGAAGGCCACGAACATAATGCCCCTGGATCATTTCCACAAGGTGTCTGAGAGCGTCCCCCAGGAGGGAGGCCTCCGTCCTGCCCCCCCCCCGCCGCTGCCTTTTCCGCATGCTTGTCAGCAGGGACGGGGGGGGGATTTAAACACAGTAGCCAGCGATGCGTTACTAGCACACCACCCTGCATTCTTCTTTTCTATTTGGGTCACTCTGCGGCAGGGGGGGGGGGGGAGCCCATGTGGGAGGAGGGGAGCGAGGGCTGTTCAGGCAGGGCCGCCTCCTGAGGCCCCCTCCTTTCCCCTCCAGGTCCAGGCCTTGGGAACGATGGGCATCCCTCGGGAGTGGTGGGAGCTGCTCGGTCTCCTTTGCGGCATCTGTCTGTGGGTGAGTCCTGCCGAGCCGAGCCCCCCGACACCCACGAGGCCGAGCCGGGAGGGGGCCCCGCTGCAGTTCCGGCTGGCAGGCTACCCCCGCAAGCACAACGAGGGGCGCATCGAGGTCTTCTACAACCAAGAGTGGGGCACCATCTGCGACGATGACTTCACCCTGGCCAACGCCCACGTCCTCTGCCGCCACCTGGGCTTTGTTGCTGCCACCGGCTGGACCCACAGTGCAAAGTACGGCAAAGGCTCCGGTGAGTTCAGCTGGGTAGGTTGCTGCTGCGGGGCGGGGGGGGGCCCTGGCGAGAGCCCTGGCGGGGGGCCGGGTGGGTCAAGGGCAGAGGCAGCTGCCGCCCACGGAGGAGGCCCTCCCCTCCCCAGTCTAGCCTCAGGGCCCAAAGGCCATCCAAAGTACAGACAAAGGAGGAACCCCTTCAGGGGTGCACAGAGTGCCTTTCCCTTGACCCCTGAGAGACCACAGCCCCCCTCCCCCCGGTGACCAGTCTCCCAGGTAAGGCCAGGCCCCCAGCCCTCTCTGGCCGGAAGTTAGCCCAGGGACTTGGATGTCCTTCTCTCCCCCCCCCCCACAGGGCGCATCTGGCTGGCAACCTGAGCTGTGGCGGGAGCGAGAAGAGTGTCATGGACTGCCGCTCGCGGGGCTGGGGCAACAGTGACTGTTCCCACGAGGAAGACGCCGGTGTCATCTGCAAGGACGAGCGCATCGCTGGCTTTGTGGACTCCAATGTGATTGAGGTGGGTCTCCCCAGGGACGTGGGCCACAGCCGGAGCTGGGAGGGGAGGTCAGAGGCCGGCCCTTCCAGGGGCTCAAGAGGCCTGGGCAGGAGCTCCTTTGGGGGGGGGGCTCGGGAGGCTGGGGAGGGAGTGGGGCAGTCCGCCAGGTGTCTTGGCTCCCCATCAGCATCAGCACCTTGAACTGGCAGCCATTTGTCAGAACCCACAGCTAACAACGAAGTACACGCATTCAGGAACGCTTATATTTTTATTGCAAAGCTATAGCTGCAGTAACACAGGCACTGTTAAACACAGGCACTGTTAAGAATGGCGGCAACCCATAGAGCCTAATAGGATATAGGGTATTCGTAAGCACCCCCCCATGGCATCGGCCAATTAGGAAACCGTTAGGTGGCTAAAGCTGGGAACCAGGAGTCTCTCACGGTACGTAGGAAACCTCCAGACAACACACCCTCCTCCTGCACATCTGTCAAGATAAGCATTTCAGCAAAGGCAGAACAGCAGGGGTAGGAATGCAATAGCAATTAACAAGACACAGAATGAACTCCCCAACCCCCATGGCAGCATAGCTGACAGACTGCCCTCTCAACCAACCCGGGAGGTGTCCCGGTCATTCCAGGAGATCTCCCGGTTTATCCGGGAACTCCTTTTTTTTTTTAAGACCCCCGGAGAGGTTTTTTTTTATTTTTTATAATACTATATAAACTACAAAGAAAAGAAGGGAAGGGGAACTACAACTAAGGAGAAAGAAAAGTAACCCACACTAAACTAAAAACCCGAGTAGGAGATTTACCCTGTTAGACTCCAGTTAGTAATGGGAAAAAACCCTGTTAATAAACAATATACTTTGTGAGATCCTGCCTTTCTAAGCTTATGTGTTAGTTTATCACTTGTTATTCCCAGCTTTAGCCACCTAACAGTTTCCTAATTGGCCCATGCCATGGGGGGGGGGGTACATACGAATACCCTATATCCTATTAGACTCTATTGGTTGCCGCCATTCTTAACAGAATGTCAGAACCCACAGCTCACAACGAAGCACACGCATTCAGGAACGGTTATACTTTTATTGCAAAGCTATAGATGCAGTAAGACAGGCACTGTTAAGAATGGCGGCAACCCATAGAGCCTAATAGGATATAGGGTTTTCGTATGCACCCCCCCCCATGGCATGGGCCAATTAGGCACCCTCCCGCGCACGGGATAAGTTAGGAAACCGTTCAGTGGTGAAAGCTGGGAACCAGGAGTCTCTCACGGTACCTAGGAGACCTCCAGACAATATTTATTTATTTATTTATTTATTTATAAATTCGGTTTATAGCCCTCCCTCCCTGCTGCGCAGGCTCAGGACGGCTCACAATCAGGCACAAGCCTCACATAAAACTATTAAAAACATTTAAAATCAATCAACATATTTCGACATTATTAAGTGCTCTCGATGTTCAAATTAAATTACCATAAAGATGGCATATTAATGCTGTTTTATCCACTCAGTGCCATCTGTTCCGCTTAGCACTATCGATCTTTCTTCCAGGGCCAGATTATAATGATGGTACAGTAGTGACGGCTCCTACTCAAACACCTGGCGGAAGAGCTCCGTCTTGCAGGGCCTGCGGAACTGTGCGAGGTCCCGCAGGGCCCGGATCTCCTCCGGGAACTCGTTCTACCAGGTAGGAGCCGCCACCGAAAAGGCTCTGGCCCTGGTAGCAGCCAGCCTGGCCTCCTTAGGACCTGGCATAGCCAGGAGGTGTTGCGTCCCAGACCGTAGTGCTCGTGGGGAAAGGCGGTCCCTTAGGTATGCTGGACCCCGGCCATTTAGGGCTTTAAAGGTAAGAACCAGCACTTTGAAGCGAATCCGGTACGCTATCGGCAGCCAGTGCAACGCTTTCAGCACAGGCTGGATGTGGTCCCTACTAGGAAGACCCATCAGCAGCCTGGCCGCAGCATTCTGCACCAGCTGCAGCTTCCGGATTTGCGACAGAGGCAGCCCCATGTAGAGAGCATTGCAGTAGTCTAGCCTCGAGGTGACCGTCGCGTGGATCACTGTGGCCAGGTCATCACGGTCGATGAAGGGAACCAACTGCCGAGCCAGCCGAAGATGGTAAAAGTCCGACTTAGCCGTGGCTGCCACCTGGGCCTCCATAGTTAACGAGGAGTCCAGGAGCACTCCCAAACACCTAACCTCCGGCGCTGGCACCAGAGGCACCCCATTGAAGGTTGGGAGAGGGAGCCCCAACCCCAGACCACCCCGACTTAGGCCCAGGACCTCCGTCTTCGCCGGGTTTAACTTCAGCCGACTCAGTCGGAGCCAACCAGCCATGGCCTGCAACGCCCAGTGCAGATCTTCTGAACTAGAGCCTGACCGGCCACCCAACATCAGATAGAGCTGGGTGTCATCCGCATATTGATGACACCCGAGCCCAAACCTCCGGGCAATCTGGGCAAGGGGGCGCATGTAGATGTTAAATAACATCGGAGACAGAACTGCCCCTTGAGGCACCCCACATTCAAGAGGGTGTCTCCGGGACTGCTGTTCCTTTATCGCCACCCTTTGTCCCCGACCACGGAGAAAAGAGGCAAGCGATTGAAGGGCGAGCCCCTGAATCCCCACGTCAGCGAGGCGGTGGGTCAGCAGCTGATGGTCGACCATATCGAACGCGGCCGACAGATCTAACAACAACGGCGGCGCCACACCGCCTCGATCCAGATGCCGTTGGAGGTCGTCAGTAAGAACGACCAGTACTGTCTCTGTCCCATGCCCCGGGCGGAAGCTGGGCTGGAAGGGATCTAGGACGGAAGCGTCATCCAGAAAGCCCTGCAACTGTACCGCCACCGCCCTCTCAATGAGTTTGCCCAAATAGGGCAAATTGGACACCGGCTGATAGTTGGCCAATTCAGCCGGGTCCAAAGAAGGTTTTTTCAGGAGAGGGTGGACCGACCATCGCTTCCTTAAGTGCCTCTGGGAACCGCCCCTCCAAAAGTGATGTGTTGACAATCTCCCTGAGAGCACCTCGCAACCCCTCATGACCCGCTTTAATGAGCCAGGAGGGGCACGGATCAAGGTTGCATGTGGTTGGGTGCACCGATGCGAGCAATCTGTCAACTTCCTCCAATACAGCCTTCTCCTGCACATCTGTAGAGATAAGCGTTTCAGCACAGGCAGAACAGCGGGGATAGGAAGGCAATAGCAATTAACAAGACACGGAATGAACTCCCCAACCCCCATGGCAGCAGAGCTGACACCAGTGCAGACAGGCCAAGACAGGAGCAATGTGGTCCCTACCGCCCTTTGGCACCGGTTGACATTTCCAGGCGTGCCTCGGGGGCAGCCCCAGGCAGAGTGCGCGTTGCAAGTGATCTCATCCAGATGTTGCTGAGGAGTGGGCTGCTGCAGTGGGGCCAGGTCTTTTCTGCCCCGGAGGAAGGGCAGCAGTCGGCCAGTCAGAGGTGCTCCAGCACTAGAACGGGGCCCAGAGCCTCTTGCGTCACCTCCAAGTAGTCCAGCCAGCTGCCCAGACAGACCCCCTCCCCCTCAGCCCCACCAAAGGGTGGGCCGGGGCGGGGCGGGGGGGCTTCCCTCTACTCTCTTCTGCTTCCACCCCCCACCCCCCAATCCTTGATCTTCTCTTGCAGAGGCAAAGTCTGGTCTTTTGGAAGAGGCCTCTCTTGGCAAACGGGGGAGCAGGGGTGGGTGGGTGTCAAACATCCCCAAGGCTTGGCTTGCCTGTGGAAGCTTCCCAGGCCACACACTCTTGGGAGGGGGGATTACTTCTCTTTGTTAAGTAGGACTGTGAGAAGCACAGGCGTATCAAATAAGCCCGAGTCTGTGTCACTCAGACACACACACACACACACCCGCTCGCTCAGCTCGTATATTGGTCCATCCATGTGGGAAATCTGATTTGCTTATCATGGCAGCGCATGATGATAGAAACGTGTCACTCACCGCCCTCTTAATCTCTTCTGTCTTAGCCATGTGATTCCTATCTAGGTAAGTGATTAGTTCTTAAGTACCTGAGGTGCAGGTGCATATGCGATACCTCTGATATGTCCTTGTTATCTTTTTTAAACAAAGAGAACCAGGTCAAATTTAACCCTTCATCTCTATTAAAAGGCAATTAATCTAGCTTTCCTGTAACCGTTTTGGTTAACTGTCCAAGACTAAAGTGCCCTTCAGCCCCCAGAGTTCACGGACAGCGGAGGAGTGCCTGGACTGACAGGCTCCAGAGAAGGCGCACGGCCAGCCAAGGAAGGTGCTGAAGTCATCAAGTGCTGCCATGCTCCCTTCCGTTTTCTCCTCACAACCAACCCTGCGAGGTAGGCTCGGCAGAGAGGGTGTGACAGGCCCAAGGTCACCCAGCCGGCTTCTGCAGCAGAGCAGGCATTCGAACCCGGGTCTCCCAGACCTTCGTTTGACACCGCACTGGCTTTCGTTAGGTGCTCTCAGAGAGTCACTCGGGGTCGGGAGAAAAAGCCACGGCGGGTTGGGCCTGGCAGGCTGAGGCAGTTTGCCTCACGGTCCATCACACAAGCTGGTCGGGGAAACCTGACTGTTGTGAGGGATGCCCCCCCCCCCCCCGGAAAAAGCCATTCCCACCTCTTCAGTTGCCCTTACAGCAACCCTAAGTCACAAGTACAAACACGATGAGGATGTAAAAGGAGCCCTGCGGACACGGCAGCGTTGCATATGGGGGGGGGGCGTCTATGGCCTTTACGGCTACACTCCAGGAGCCAGGTGTGCCCGAGGGCCCCCGCCCAGTCTCACAACGTCAGCTGCCCCGCCTCCCTCACAGGAGGGTGTCTGTTGTGGGGAGGGGAAGGGAAAGGAGTTTGTGAGCCGCTCTGAGACGCCTTTGGTGGGGTATAAATCCAATCTCCTCCTCTTCTTCTCTAACCAAATACGCCCCACTGGCTCCCGATGGTTTAGCTTCCCTGCAAACATGTTCCGCACAGGTTCCAGGCATCCCATGACAACCCGGTGACGGCACCCGAGGCAGGACAGAATGTCCAGGGCCCCCTCCGCACACACCCCGCCCCCCGCCCTGCTAGGGAAGCGTTGAGCCAGCCTGGCTGCCTCGGGAGCGACCTGGGCTACCGCGGGCTGCAAATCCCCTCCCATCTGGAAGTGGGTCACAAGCTCGACTGGAGGCCAGTTATTTTACACCCACAGCATTCCTTAGGTCTGCTCGTCACCCTCGGGGCGGGCGGGGGCGGGGGAGGCATTTGGCCAAGCCGGAGTCCGTCTGTCCTTCTAGCAAGCGGAGCCTCTTCCTCCTCCCGTGGCTCCTGGACTTCCCGGTGTGCCGCTGCTGCTGCTTCATGCTGACGCCAGCAGGCCCCTTTCCCCGCATTCCTTTTTGGCGTTCTGGCTGCGGCTTGGGCAGCTTCTTTGCTGAGAGGCCCCCCTCCCTTTCCATCCCCCGGTAATTTCCTTGTGGCCCCACCCCCCCTCCTTTTTTTCCATTACCACTTTTGTTTTGCACTCTGCTTCGAGTTCGGTGGGCCCGTCTGCCTCTCCAAAGACTGAAAGGAATTTGGCAGGCTGCACTCCTCTTCCGCTTCCTTCTCGGCGGGCTGCTTAACCCGCTCGGGAGCCTTCGTGCCTTGCAGGCCCCCAGCGCACACAGTGTCTTGCAAATGACAGAGTGAATTCCGACAACAGGCACCTCCAGCCCTGCTGGCCCAAAATCAAAAGCCACCCACACCCTCCCTTTTGTGAGGGCCAGCCCCGGAGGCCCCGGCGTGTCCTCAGACCCCTGCCACCGGGAGGTCACAAGTGATTCCGGGAGGCTGACAGCCCTGATTCCACGGCAGCCTCCCAAGCCGTGTTGCTAGTGGCCCACGTGGCTTCTGTGGCGCTGGGGATAAATGGCTGCTGGGCTGGGAGACACGAGGAGGAGTTGCAGGCCGTGGACTGCTGGATCCAACCCGTGGTCTACAGCTAGCCATCTTTTTGCACCTCGTAGAGAGGCAGTTGGGCTTTCTTCCTTTTCTTAAATTACGTCTGTCCCTCATGTCCCGCCGTTCCCACGGGGGCTCCAGGTGAGTTACACAGAGTGAGTCCAGTCAGTGTGCGATCGACAGGAAGGCTCTCCACACCCAATCACAGTGCAGCAGGACTGGGACGGCAGGAATCTGGGACCTGCCCCAAATCCGAAGAAGAGCACAGGTGGTTGTTGTTATTAGCACGGCCACCTTCAACAGTGCAGCCCGGACACAGCAGCAGACACTCCGAGAGCCCTTCACGGCACTGCAGCCCGCGCTGCCTCTCCCTTTAGCCACGCATCTTTCCGGGCTGTTGGGTTACAGTCGGGCCCTCCGACCTGTGTAAAAAGCCCTCCTGGGGAGTCCGGCGTGGCCCACACACATGCTGCGTGGACGCCCTTCCCTCTGGGGAGTATCCGTTCAAGCGGTCGGTGCCAATCGCTTTCATTCTGCAAAGATCGCAAAGAGCACCAGAGCAGGGCCCCCCCTCCTGCACCAGGAAGCTTCCAGCCTGCCTTGGACTTCTGGCACGAGGTCTTTCCAGTTTGCCACGCAGAGCCCTGGAAGGGTTCGGGCGAGGGAGGGCCCTTTCTCCCCAGCGTGGTGCGGCCGCTGCCCCCCAGACCGGGGTGGTGGTGGTGGTGGCGGCGGCCATGATCTCCTCTCTTCCTGGAGTGGAGAGAGCTCCTTTCCGCCGGGACCCCCCAAGGTGACTGACAGCCCAAGGTTGTCTGCCCCGGCATAGATGGGTGGCGTGGGGGGGGGGTTGCGGCAGGGGACCTGTGCGACAAGTGCCAAGGCTGCTGGGGAACTGATCCTTGCCCCCCTCCCCAGACAGAGCAGAACCAGGTGGAAGAGCTCCGGCTGCGCCCAGTCGTCTCCCACGCCAAGCGGCCACTGCCGGTGACGGAGGGCATCGTGGAAGTCCGCTACAAGGACAGCTGGGCCCAGATCTGCGATGGGAACTGGAGCAGCCAGAACAGCCGTGTTGTCTGCGGCATGCTGGGCTTCCCTGCCGAGAAGAAGGTCAACCGGAATTTCTACAGGTGAGTCCAGCCCTGGCGACCGGTGGGGGGCAGGAGCAGCCGCCCGATCTGGCCAACGGGGCCACAGACCCTGCCTGGGTGGGCCCTTCCCGGTGGGCCCTTCCCTTCCCCTCCCCTCCCTCTCGCCCTCTTCGCAGCCACTCCATGGAGGCGGGCCAGGCACCGAGGGGGAGGGGGGACGGGCCCACAGCCAAGCAGGGGGCAGCCCCCCGGGCTCCAGGGCACCGAGTCTCCACTGGTGGCGGCGGCAGCAGCAGTAGCAGCAGGGTACGTGGGGAAGGAAAGGCGGGGGGGGGGCGGGGGCCGTCCTGCTGGGACCGCAGTCCCGGTTCGGATCAGGACTGCAGGGCGAGGAGTCCACACCCCTCAGCCCAGAAGAACAGCCCGGGTGGGAGCTGCTGCTCCTCCCCTTGGGGAGGCCTGTATGTCCGGGGGTGGGTGGGTGGTGGAGGAGTTTCTGCCGGAGGACGAAGAGCATCTGCCCGGGGCCCTTGCCAGCTGGGGAGACGGCCCCTGGGGGGGGGAGGGCTCGCCCCGCCGGTCTCGATCTGAGGCAGCCCCAAGAGTGGAGTTCAGAGCACGCTGCTCCCTGCGCACGGGGTGGGGTGGGGGACAGGAGGCCCCCTGAACGTGGCACTGAGCCCAGCTCGGGTTGAAAGCGCCGGCACTCTTTTGGTGAGTCCCTGGCTCCTGCCTGGCCGAGGGTCAGGAGCCCCGAAGTGGCCTCCTGTGGGCGGGGAGAGGGGCTTCCAGTGGTGGGCGTCACGGGGAGAGCTCAGCCAGTCTGTGGGCTCCCGCACGGGGGGTGTCTCTCAGGGCCCCGGTGGGCTGCCTGGCCTCCCCCCCCCCGTTAAGAGGCTGCTGCTGCCTTTGACTCCCCAGGCGGTTCAAGCGAGCGGCCAAGGCGGCAGCCAAGGGCCGGAGGAAGGCAGGCCCGGGCAGGAGGAGGTAATGGGGCCAGGCGGGCCCTGCGGCCGGCGGGGGCCCCCTGGCAGCACCAGAGCCCCTAGGGCTTCCCTGTGGGATGGGCCCGAGCTGCCCCGCGGGCAGGACCATCCGGGCTGGGCTGGATCGAGGGGCTCGGAATCCACCCGCGCACAGGGGATGAACCTCTTCCTTCCCAAGCAGGCTGCCTCGCATGCATATGCCGCGCATCCTTCTCTCTCTCTCTCTCTCTCCCTCGTGGCCCAGGCTGGCTGGGGCCCCTTGGGCTTGGAGGGCATGAGGAGGAGGTTCATCGTCATCATCATCACCCGGGGCGCCTGGGGCTCCACTGGCCTGCTCAGGGGGACCCTGCTTGCCTCTCGGCCTCCTCTTGGGCCTACTAATCCCCGGCTCCTGGGGGTGGGTGGGTG